ATGGTTACTATTATGTCATGAGCAAATAGTTGATACCCTAGCCGACTCAATTGCATTGGCTGTGTGGATTGCTCACTATAAGACAGGTTAAATAGATTTAATATAAATGACATTGAATGAGGAAAGATACAAAATATTTACGTTTACAATCTGAAAGCAAAAGCCATTTTACTCTCTACTAATAGTTTCCAATTATCTCTTAATTACTTTCAAAACTACACTAACAGCATTGCACTTACCAAAAACTAATATTGCAACAATTCTTGTAGGGTATAATTGAGAAGTTCGTACATATCCTAAACTTAATACTTTTGTAAATAATGTTCTTATGGAATTAAAAACTAATTAATTGGGAAATCAATTCGCTATTAGTATCCACAAAAACAGTGTTTGTCAAGTCAAATTACTGTTCCATGAAAGACATGTGCTTGGTTAAACATAAACTGGGTACGGTTCAATAATTGATTACTGAACGTCGAAACGCTACGTTTCAATCTTAAATATTTTCACGCTTATATAAAATTGAATTATTTGCTTAACAGTGTTTTTTTTTTTTTCAATGATATATTTCAACATTTATTTGCAGTACTCGACTAAATCTTGAAAGCAAATTCTAAGAAAACAAGGTTCCTGAAGCGGACGTAACTGTATTTCCCCTAATTTATTTTTTGAGATCGAAGGAAATCTATTACATTTTAGGAGCAACATTGTTAGGCTTGATTCAAACTTTCTTTATAAAATAACTTTTATGAAATCAATAAATTGTGACAAGCTACACTAAAACGGATTGTATTTTAACAATAATGCTATTAAAATATAAATGGTATCGAAATACCAAATTAATTCCTACTAAATTCAGGTTATACATGTGGTTATGAAAATCACAGTCCAGTTACTAAAGGTGCAATAGTTCAAGAAGTTTTGTCAAGGTTTTGTGAAGGCCTATTATAAGATAGGATTATAATAGATATTGTGGATATTCTGGTGGTTGGTTTAGAGGGAATTATACCCCTGGGACCAGGGTTGGGTTCAAATACTGCCAGTTACCATCAGATTGTAAATCAAAAGAAAATTTGTATCATGTTTATCCTGATTCAATACGTAACATTTATATTATGTTGAGATTGGTGATTGTTCTAAATTTATTTGAAACGAACTGAAGACATCCAAGAATTATTAGGTTTGAAAATACTACATTAAAAATTTTCAGCCGGTATCGTAAACTTTACATCTAATGCTATGCGTTTTAAGAACAATGCTAAAATGTCAACTGTTGCTGTGTTTTGTCATTCGTGTATTTTCACGTCATATTTTTTTTTTTTTATGGATGGTTTTATAAGTTTAAAAACGTATAAAGCTCAAGAGATTACTTAGATTTGAAGCAGTTATTCAAATCATGTTTATTGACAATAGTAATGATTACACATTTCATAGTTTTCATTATGTGAAAGAGTCTTGAGATTTAAAATAAAAAATGCCAAAACACATTAATTAATATAAATTCATAAAATGTTGTCATGTATTAGCAAGTTGGTATAAGAAATATTTTTGACAAATCCTTCCTAAATATGTGTCGATTTCTGACAAAAATATTACCAAGCGCTTTTTTAAATTATCGGCTCCGCTTTTCCCCCCTTAGAGTCTAAACTAAATGCATTGTTTTTCAGTGCCCCCAAATCAGGTCTTTCACTTCAGTAAGCATTCACAATGAAAACTAAATGATTTTTTCAACCTGCGGTATTCAAATACTTATCTCTGTTTATACGTGAATAGTTTTAAATAATTTAACACAAAATTAGTTCTACGTTAAAATTGTCTTCATTTATCAATCTTTGACGATAAATATTACAGTTTGTGCACTACTGGAGATTTGCAAATAGATACTTAAACTCAATGTAACTAGTATATTTTTGGTATTTTTTGTTATCCTCTAACACTCCTCTAAACTTCGTGTTTACTAGATTTTGTTTCATATCATTGATTTTAACCTAAAGAAGTTACGAGATAACGACACAAGAAAAACATAGCCACCCTGTCTTTCAACACTTCTTAAGCATGATGTTGGGTCTAAGCAGTTTTTGGAGAAAATCTTTGGAGAAAGATCTTACTGAGATTAATTGGCCAATCGGTGCTTGAAACAATGATTCTTCAAACTTACTTAAATAGCCAAATGGTTTATGTTACCTGGCTTCGTCAAGTGATCCTCCTTCAGTAGTTTACTACTATAGTTTCAGACTTAAAAGTCCATCTTCAGGTAGGAACAAAAACGTCAATAAGTCATATAACCAATCACCCAATTACACCAACTCACTTACACAGTAATGTACCGTGTCAAACCTTCAAAACCTCTTTCACTAAGTATTGTGTGGCTGGTCAAGGGGTGAGGCACCAGATTTCTGTCCTAGCTGCCTAGAATGAAATTCTACCAATCGCTAATAACGTTTGGATTACGTATATGATACTCACCTTAAGGTGTAGTCCAAATCCAATCCGTCTAAAACCCCAAAAAATTTAGATTTGTCAGGAACAGATTATAAATATCCATCTTTCGATCGGAAAACGAAATTCTCTAAAACCATACAACAATAAACTCTAGCCTACTGTCACAATGACAATACACCGAGATACAAGCTGTTACTGTTACATTTATGTCACAAGTAACTGTTACATTTCTATCACAAGTAACTGTTACATTTCTATCACATGTAACTGTTACATTTATGTCACATGTAACTGTTACAATTCTGTCACATTTAACTGGTACAATTCTGTCACATATAACTGTAACATCTACGTCATATGTAGCGGTTACATTTATGTAACAAGTAACTGTTACTTTTATGTCACATATAATTGTTACTTTTTCAGCATGGTTAAATAACAGTTCCATTCGTGACGCAACCGGTTGGATAGGTCAGGGACGGTGATTGATAATTTAACAGCCAGAACGTGACGACACCTGTCCAAGAGACTGTTAAATAGTATACGTGCTTCTCATTTTAACTTGACTGGGCAATCGCGAATTTGATCCTCTCTGTCACAGTACGGCGAAGTCGTCGAAAGCTGCAATCACCGTCATGGAGGTTAGAATAAATTCTGCACTTAAATTTTTTTATTAATCGGAATTATATAATTAGATAATAAATAAATGCTATTATAATTCAATATGTCAAGACCACCAATATAAGCTCAGTTATACTAGGCCTACTTGTTTTCGTAGGTAAATGTTCTGTAGTTTTTCTTTATTTTAAATATCATTTTTTAAATTACCGATTAATTGAGAGTGTTCAACAATTTCTTTAGTTTTGAATTTAATATACCCTTTTACTCCTGCAACATAATAATATACCGTATATCCCTTGTAAGAAAAAGTGAGTTTTTATATACATTTCACTCATTTTGATAGAACAAACTGCGTTGCAAAACCAGTGTTAGAAAATCAATACTAAAACATATTATTTGCAAACAACTCTAATCACTATAGTTTGAAGAAGGTACCAATTAAATCGTAGTTAAACCTACTTTTAATATGTTAAAATAGCTTATTTCACTCCTTAGGTAATTTATTCAGTTTTTATTTTGAGGCGTTTTATTGAGACACATACAAATGTAAGTACGCACTTCTAAAAATCCAGTGAATGATATCTTTGCACTCGAGTAAAATTATTAGGTATCTCTTGTTTCATATTGCATGTCGTCTTAAGTGCATAGAATATCCTGAAACTCATTAAAACTAAGAGCTTTTTTCTATGTTAACTAAAAATATACATACAAAAGACGGGAAGTACAGAGATGTGTTTTGAAAATCCTCACTACATTGTAGCAAACCCACATTATTGTTAATTTTATAACACGATATTATCAATTGTTTTTATTTCATGTAATTTTTTGACTTAATTATAAACTATAATGTTTAGGCCTAATGGAGTATAAGATATATTTGACGCAGGCCGAGGCATGTTAGCATGTGACACAACAAAATACGATTTTATATATTTCTTGTTAATTTCAAATCAACACTTAACACCTTCAGTAAGGTTATTTGATAGTTGCACTCCTAGGACTAACTAATGCACGTTTTTGTTGTTTTCTTTTTTTACTGTAGCATGATGTTTGAATGTTGCTTTTGCGAGATTGTGAGTAGATTTGTAGATTGTGTAAGCCAGAATGTGAAGTAGTTTGTTTTAAATTCTGCATTCATTCATTGCAAACTTTGACTGAAATGATGTATTCCCTCATTTCTTTCACCAATACAATATTTTTAGCAGAAATACAAATATTTTAAAGGGTTTGTCAGTTTTTAAGTTGTTTTTTTTTATTATATCTTAAGAATCTTGTATACCGTCCTGTAGGCTAACTAATCAATCGTATCCATTGTATACTGTAGCATACAAGGATTTGTCAAATTCTTACGGTAAATTAAAACTTAAATTTGTACTTGTTTGAATATGATGGTAAACAAAGCATTCATTTAAATCTGATGAAGCCACATGTTTTCATTAAAATAATTTGCCACTCACAGAATTAACTAATATCAAAATGATTTTTTCTCACTTATTATTCAATTATTTTTTTATATGACATAAATTATGTCATAACCAACATGCCGTAGTTCAATCTTGGTTAATAAGTTTTCGTATGTCATAAATCAGTAGTCAAGACACTCTACATGACACATAGCTCAAATAGGTTGGGTAGTGTGACTAAACTGTCTACATTTTTTTTTTTTTTACCCTAATGTCAATATTTGTCATTGGGTTTTCAATCAATCATTTACCTTAAAAAATAATACAAGAGTTGCCAATACAATCAAAACAAATAACTGCCAAGACTAGACACAAAAATAAATAAACTGTAACATGGGAATGTACCTAAAATGCTGTCTTCGACCTCTATCTACAGTCAAAGACAGAATCCAATCAAAGTTTGCAATGATGAGCTAGTATTTCCTTTTCCCTACTACCCGTTTAACATTGTAAGAGGATCAATGTTTGTGTTAGAATGTCAGTGTTCTTCTTCCGGTTGCACAACCTCCGGCGGGAGGAGGAGAATAAGAGGAAGAGGACCAAGAACGGGACGGGATGCGGCATGTTGCGGTCAAACCTCACCCTAGCGCCCAGCAGACTGTTCGAGAGGACGCCACTCACCCCCTCGGACAGCTTGGACGAGATCGCCCTCAAAATACCCAGGTATCATGTACTACCAACTTAAAGACACTATTTGTAAACTTTGATATCTTGTTGTGTTTGTGACATTGCGTCTTGTAAATAAACAGCATAAGTGTAAATATAATAATGTAATGGTTATTTGACGTGTTATTTTTTTTCTCCCAGGTAATTTTAAAACACGTACTTTGCTGGTCAAGAAGTTATTTTGTTTCATTCTTAATTTATCTTTAAGTCAATAAGTCATTTATTTAACCAAAATAACAATTACATGCATTGGTCATGTCATTTAGCAAAACATACAGTTTCTTGACTTAAATAAGAAATAATAACTGTTCTTTTTTTACACTAAGGGTTAGTTTATTCTTTTAATTTTGTCTACAGTGATTTAAAGTTTTATACGATTGCTCTTTTGAATTGAAATTTGATAAACCAAAACCCAATTGACGTCATGTTTTTACATTGATACCATTGGTTCACAAGGTACGAAAAGTCGAGTTAATAAGTTTTGGTGTATCAGCACAAACTTCACTAATTTACTTGATAGGTTACAGCGACAATTGCATTTTCCGGTTGTAAGCAGGGGCATTTGTCTTCTGTCATTTGCAGGGTTGTCAACTTAACTGTCCGTAAATTGTGATCAAAACGCCCCAGAAGTTCAAAATACTTGCATTGTGTAGAGGCAACTAAATCTAAAAATCAAACTTTGATGTATTATCCTTCACACTGACTAAGGTCTTTACACACTAACTAACCTTTAACACAAAGTACAAAACGCGTTTAATGAGGTTGGAACAGTTAATAGCTGACCATACACGTTACTGCTTGTGGAGCAAATGAGTCAATTGTTTATTTTGACTCTGTCAACGATTTTGAAGCCAAACCTCTCTCTTTGTTATTCTATTGACAAGAGGGGTTTGTTAAAATGACTACAATCTGGCTTGTTGGCTGTTTTGATAACACAGAAAATGCCATGTTATGCAAAATTACTATATTAGGAGTATACATTAACAGTCTAGTAATATAAAGAGAATGTTAATATTATCAGACAATAATAATTTTAATTATATTGTCTGGGTAGCGATGTGGTTATAGTACTCGAATTCAAACCTGAATGTCGCCGTTTCGAATCCATGCGAGATCGTTTCCAGACCCAGATGCCATTTGTCATTGGGATATGAACTAATGATGCTATCTAACAAAAAGGTCGACGCTAGGTAGGTAACATTGACTGTAGTAACAAGACCGGGGTTTCGACCTTTCAAAATGTAAAGAATGCCACTGGTAAAAAAAAACATAAAATTAAAAAATATCAAACACTCTAACTATTTATATTAAGTATATTGCAATATTGTGATAAATTTACTACGGTTTTGTAGTAAACTTGCAAGGCGGAAGTAAAATGTCCACTTTCTAATGGTAAAACTACTACAATCTGACAAAAATAAATGATTCTGATAAACAAGCCTGATGAAAATGACAACAGGCTTATGGAAGAAATACTTAAGTTTGTTGATGGACCAGCACTTGAAACAATTTGTTAGGAGATAAACATACTACAGTACATATTTTAATGATATCAAGCATGAATTAAAATATCCATGAAAGTTATTACTTGTGAAATAGTTATCGAAAATCCACGTGGTAATGTTCGACGACGTTCATTCGGAATGTTTATTATTATATCTAAATTACAGGTTTAGATGCGTTTTATGCAAATCAAAAGAGATGTTATTGCAGAAACCAGCGCCATTTCAAGACTGATGAAGAATGAAGCTGTGAATAAGAACACTCATGTTGATGAAGAATAGTCATAATTTTGGATGACAGCTGTTATGTATTAAAGTTCGCAAACAAAATTTTGTTTTCCTGAGAGTGTATTTTTACCTTTTTCAAGCTAATACCCTTACAATGCGTGTTGAACATTAAGCGTACTTGTGTGCAGCAAGATGATATGGTTATACATATTGCATTATGCATATGCATAACTTAACATTTAGTAGCCATCCATATATTATTGAATACCTAGCCATTGATGGCGTAAAGACTTGTTATTCCGCTTTCTATCCAACTTCCAATTCCACTTTAACAGAAAACTTGAAATGAAACCGTTTAGCTTTGTGAACGTTTTAACAATTCCACTTAAAAAGTGTTACTTAGATAATGTTTATTCCCGAAATTGCAATTCAAATAATGTGTTTGAAAACCACCCCATTACTCGACTAAACAGTGGAGTGAATATGCACTATAAAATATCCTAAACGTGAATTTAATTTTCAAATTACAAAGCCAAACGGTCCTCCACCGACAAACAAACTTCGCTAGGTTCCGGAACCTCTTCGAATTACTTTAAGTTTGTGGCCTAGAGGGTCTTGACATCACTTAGATAAATAATCAATCAAAATATTTTATTAATGAGTTAAGTTTATCATTATAAAATCCGTTTCTTATAAATATGAATTTTATTTTGAGTTTATTAAGCTAAAAAAGGAATTGTGTTTGGGTTGAGGTGGTCTAGTTTCAACGCACGGGTTTTCAATCCCAGAGGTCCCAGGTTTAAATCCGGCCAATCATCAATAGATTTTTTCATAAACTCATCGCTGTATATTGTTTATTTATCTCAATTTTAAATAATAACCTCTTAGGTGTACTGAAGATCTTAAATATCTCCATGAAAAACTGTTGTAATAATCTTACATCATTCTTTCTATTTCAGGTAACGAAAAACTATTCCACGGATCAATTTTACCAGGTTTGAATAATGTATTCTTTAAGTTTTTGCATGCAAATAAAATAAACAAGCGAAATATTTACTTATTGTTTTGTCATTTGGCAAAGGTGTATAATTAGAATAGTTTTTCTTTTAGCTTAATTTCTTTAGGACAAAACATGGATACGACACGTTTTACATATCTTACTAAAATTATAAATATATTCTATAGATGCAAATTATCAATAATCATTTAAGATGAATCAGTTCTTATATGGAAATACTTAAAATTTAATCACAGTTGCAATAATTATTGATTACTACCACAGTGTATCTCGGTTACAGCTTTGACACCTTACACTGTAATATAGCCTTCATGAAGGCGAGCATGTTACATTGGATATTAATTACAAGCGTATTGGGTAGACTGCTTCTTTATAATCAGTGTATTTGTGATTCGTTACTATGTCACCTCTAAATTGCTTAGGATATAATATATCTAAAATTTTCTCAATATTTACTCAAGTTTCCTGGCCTGCAGGACTGGTAGGTTCACCTTTTAATCTGAAGGTCGCTGGTTACATTTTGAGCTAGATTGGTACTGGATCCTGATACCGTTTGTCATTGGTTATCATGATAACTTAAAACACGAGGTCGACGTGAGATATTAAGAAGACCTGGGGTTTATACCTTAAAAAACGTAAGAATAGCCTATACCTTAGATAAACTATACTTTTTTATTATTCAATGATACGTTTGTATGTTATTTAAGTGTACTATTTTTAAATAAAGCTCAAATTATACATAAAGATATTTATTTGGAAAATATTAGAAACCGACATCAATAATCTATCCGATCGGCAAATATAAACCAATTAAAAACATATCTTATTTTAATTTGAAAACGAATTAGGTAAATCGATCAATTGACTGCTTGACTTCAGTAAAATGTAAATAATATACGGATTTAATCATAGTTGTATCAATATCACTTATCTATTTATTAACATGTCAACACTATCTATGTTTTTATGTGTTAAATCAATGATTTTAACATAGCCTATGCGCTATCGAGATTTTAAATATGCTCTACTACTGAGCGAATATTAATATTTGTAAAGGTGCTTTTGATCATAGCATTTCAACATTTGAAAACATCGGCACTATATCATATACAATATACGTTAACAGCCAAACTCCGGGCAATTGTTCTATGGGTCAAAATAAAGAAAAAATCATTAATAACATTTTTTTCCAAAATCACTTCGTTAGCCAGATATCCACCATTTTGGTTTTTCACATAAACATTTTTTCCTTTGAATTTTTTCAACCGATCATTTTAAAAAGTTGGTATGTATGTTTAGGTAGAACAGGCCCCCGTAAAATATCTTGATACAATTATTGAAAATGTCAAAATGGTGGCACGCCAAAAAATGTGTTAATGCACGCCATGTTAGTAGTACTACCATAAAGTTTACAATTTACTTGTGATAACATATCAATAAATGTTACACAGTTACAATGATACATAGTTACATCGTTACAATGTTACATAGTTACAATGTTACATAATTACATAGTTACAATGTTACATAGTTAATGATAAGTAATGGGCAAGTTAAAATATTTTTTTTTTTTACTAACCACAACTATAACTTCGTCAGACCATTAAACTGTCAAAAACAACAAATGTATTCGTGGTATTTATTATTTCGACAACCAAGCAATTTTAACACAAATCAGGATAATATAAAGGTTAGAATATATTATCCTGAAATATATTGTCCAGCAGAAACAGACATTTGAATGTGGGATCCATGTACTGGCTAACACTAAGTACATTGCAGACCACTTTTGTAAAAGAAATATTGGTTCAACTTTTGCGGACTGGTATTCTGGAGCCGTAAAACCAAATGGTGTCCCCAACTGCAACATTGCGACAGCATCACAAAGTCAAATAAATGAAAATCGCTATAAGTGGAGGACAATCCCCTCGAAAAAGACTATATCTAAAACAAAAAAGTCCAAACCTAATGTAAAATTAGTAACTAAAAACCGATTTGAAGTTCTGGACGTAATAGCAGAAATACCGCAATCGAATGTAGTCTCTGTTAATAGCGACCTTCCAGAAACCACCACTAAGAAGAAAAATGTAAACAAAACAAAACATACAAGGCCCGGTCCAATGAAGAAACACGTATCAGCTCCTCGATCAGACTCCCACAAGTTATCCATCTCAAGTGACAGCCAGGGAAGACACTTAGCTGCATTCATCGAACATACAAAACACGGAGCTAGTACTGTTCTCCAAGTT